AGCCACTTAAAGAACTGAGCTAAGGGGCAGGCCCCCTTATAAGATTTTTTTTTTTCTTTCTCTAAATGCCCTAAGGGGTGGTTTGGTTTTTTTATTTATTTAGGACAGGGTGTACAGGGTCTCACTGTGTAGATTGGACTTGTTAGTGATCCTCCTGTTTATAGCCTCCCAAGTGCTAGGATTACAGGGGAGCGCCAATACACCCAGTCTCAATCCCCTTTAGTGCGTCTGGGGTGGGGCCAGCATGGTAGGCCCAGGGATCAGAACTCCTGGCCCCTGTGCCTAAGCCGGCAATCTAATCTGCTGAGCTATATGGCTGGCCCTTACATATGTCACTTGCAAAGCATATATAAACAAAATGTCAAACTGCTATCAAAATTCATTTATTTCCCTCTCCCTCCCCACCCCTTCTCATTCTCTCTTTTTTTTAATGTTCTGGGTCTACAGGGTCCAGGGTCTTACTACACAAATCAGACTCAGATTGGTCCTCCCGTTTCCAGCCTTCTAAATGCTGGGATTATAGGCGTGTGCCACCACACCCAGTCTCAAATGTGACTCAGCACACCCTGGGGGCAGGACCAGCATGGTAGAATGGGATCAAAACCCAGTCCCTGTGCCTACCTAAGCAGTTGCTTTAGTCTGCTGAGTTATCTGGCTGGTCCTTCTCTTCCTTCTACATAAACAATTATAGTTTCAGAGGCAAAATCCAAAAAAATAAGAGCTTTCCACAAGGACTTAGTGATTTGAAGGTAAGAAAGCAGAAGAGTAATTAATAGGAAATATATATATATATATATATATATGCACTGTAGTTTGTAAGGATTAACAAACTGTCTCTGATCTTGACACCCAGAAAGGAGCTGTATACAATTACAGAAGGGGGCCTGATAACTATGGAGAAAGGAAACCCTGCTGCATCTCCCCTGAGAACCACAGATCCACACCTCGGGCAGTCAGGAAGAGCATTCCAAAGCCAGAAGCCCTTCCTTTCTCAAGTACACCTCTCCTGAACTTGGTGGTGAGCAGCACTGACATGCTAGCTGGTCAGATACCCCCAAGGGGAGTGTCTGGGAAAGTTACTGCTTAAAAAAGCCATGGAGGTGAGCTGGGGAGATAGCTCAGCGGAATAAGTGCTTGCCTGCAAGTGCAAGGTCCTGAGTTTGACCCCTGGTACCACAGGAAAGAGAGAGAGAGAGAGAGAGAGAGAGAGAGAGAGAGA